GGGAAAGAATTGACAGTTGTGAAGAGAATTAGGAAAAACTGCTAATTTGCACAGCACAAAACTGTCTATCATTTGCAAGGCTATTCCAATCAAAAAGAACATTTCATAGCACTTAAAATATGATAAATTTGAAATGATTTGAAGACACTCTGAAATGTAATTGCTTTTTTGAATATTTCTTAGAATACTCGTATAGCTCCTTTAGTCAGTTTAATCTTGATAAATTAACCTCTCTTTCCTACTTTAATTTATGAGAAGTTCTGCAATCTGTCTATTTTCAGATGTACTCTAATAGCATTTGGGAAGAGGAACTCTTTCTTATCAATTAAAAGAAAGTGAAACATACATTATTAATTTATAAATTATTAGTTTTTTTAATTAATATTCAGTTATGATGGGATATATAATACACATCAAATGTATATGCAAAATGCAATTTTTATACACTGAAAGCTTATATTTGTAGATGTGTTTATACTTTGTTTCTTTGTTTTTTGAACTGAATTTTGCTATGTTGCAATCCCCCTGCCTCAGCCTCCAGAGAGTCAGGATCACGGGTGAGAGCCACCACACCTTACTCTTTCAGACAGGATCTCATTGTGTTGCACACACTCATCATGAGCTCCCAGTTTTCCCCCCTAAACTAAGTAGCTGACACTGCAGAAGCAGGATGTTGCCCAGATTTCCAGGGTAGACGGGGAATCAAGCCAGGGCCTCTGCCAAGCAGCAGTGTCCAGCCATGCTACAATGCCTCGGCCAAGAGAATATTCATTTTAACGAATGTTCAAAGCGTGTAGCATAAACTGAAAACAGAGATAGATTGCCTACTCTCCAGATTCTAGTTCTAGTAATTAAATTCATTTTCACTTCTATTTTCAGATCCTTTTCCTCTCATCACTTATTCTTTTGCCTACACAGTCATGCCTCCATCTAAAATGACAAAAGGAGGTATTACACGTGTCCCCCAACACACGCATACACACAAACACGCACACACACACATACACGCACACAGTGAATTATTCACCCAGTCTTTTTGTTGCTGATCTTCAAGACAAAAGAGGTCTTTATTTTTTTCAAAATTTTTGGTGAGGTTTTAAAAATTATTTGTTCCATTCCAAAATCATCCAGAATATTTTCTTAAAATCCATGCTATTATTTCAGAGCTAGAAAAGCATTTATTAATGCACAGACCTTTTCTATACTTGTAGTTCAGAAGGTAAGTATTGCCAGAGTAATGACCAGCAAGCAGCTAGAATGTGAAGGGCACTAGCACAGGCGTGGTGAACAGAGAAGGGGCTGGATAGCAGGCCAGCACCTGAATAGAAGAGCTTTTCCACAACTGGAGCTCAGACCACAAGCTGATGAAGCTAAAGAAGGGTATCGATAAACCCAAGGATAACTGCTCAAAGCAGACATGGTAATGAGGGAACGGGAATACTTGAAAGGACTGAAAATACCTTGCTTGGAGAAGACACAACGGGCGAGTGTCAGAGATGATGATAACTGTAAATATTGTAATTGATGTCAGGTGGAAAGGAGTTGGACTTTATAGCTGTGACTGGGGCGGTCTCATGCATTTATAGTGTGACTCAATATAGGAAGTATTTTTAAAAGTGATATTATATGGGTTTAGCTTAGGTAATAAAGTAAATAAAAATTAGACTTTTTGCCTGAGGAGAAAGCTGCTGCATGGAAGTGGAGTGTGGAATGGTTGGTATCAGAAGTTGAGGGATGTGAGAGGTGGGAAGGATTGGGAGAATATGGTGAACAGATGCCGGAGTTCAAGGGGATGAGTGGAATGAGTCCTACAGTGCTATAGCACAGCCGAGTAACTCCAGTCGGTGACAGTTTTATGTGTATTTCCAAATACCGAGAAGAAAAGATTGTAATGTTCACAACACAAAGTAATGGTAAAAGTTTGCAATGAGGAATGTATTTATTGCCTTGATTTAATCATTACACAGTGTGTTCATGTACTGAAAAACCACACTGCCCGGATCAATAGGTACAGCTATTATATGTCGATTCAAGATTATAATGAAGGGCCAGACCCTACTGCATAGCAGTGAAGCCCTGTGCCTGGGAGCCAATCCCATACAGTCTACCGTCATTATCATATCGGTCCCAGAAGTTAGAAGAACATATCAGGTGCCAAGTGCTTGCGTGCTCACAATTCTAACGAGATGGAGAAAAGACCGTCATGGCATGACCATACCACACTGGGGGTGGGGGGGGGGGAAGAGACTTTCTCTCTTTCTCTCTGGTAAGTGCATGCACCCTCTGGCAATAAGAAATAAAGTATAAATTATAAGAAAAAGAAAACAACTGAGAGCCTGAGAGTCCTGAATCCATAGATGTCATTTCATTGGCCAACCAACTAATTACTTCTCGTGGAGGTTTCATATCATCAACCAGTGTTTGAAGACGTGACAGTTCACATCTCTTTCATTGTTCTGTCAATCCCTTACCATTTTTTCTGTGGATAAATAGGCCATTATTATTTAGTACTAAGGCCATCATTAGGCCATTTTATTTAATTCTGTGTGATGCTTTTTTATGTTCTGCACGTCTTAATTTAAAGTGATCATTTTATAAAAATTTCCTTTAGGTAAAAATATGTTGGAGTGGTTCTATTTTCATTCTGTTACTAACTAGGATATGAACTTGAAGATTACTCTGTTTTAGTTAACATGTAAAAATAAGGTGGTTATGCACAATGACTCCAAGATTCTTTCTACCTCCAAATTTCATTTATCTGACCTAACTGGCTAACAGTAAGACAGACATTTTAGTGCTTACACACTTTAGTATTATGGGAATTGAATAAATATTGTAAAGGGCTTAAAACAATGCCAGGAACAGGCAAGTGTTATAATCCTAGGCCCAGAATCGACATGTCTGGGTGCCCATTCACTGGAGCTGCCACTTTGGGAGTTTACATAAGGTCTATGGGGCTTAGTTTACTTGCAGGAAAAAGGCATACTCACACTATGTCACTGAGGCTCAAGTAATAACAAGTGATGGTAACAAAGAATGATTTCAAGTCGATCATTATGAGCTAAAAGCGTTGCCATTGTGCTGATTTTGAATTTGAGCCCAATAATTATTTAGTTACCTGGGAGTGTGTTTTACAGCCACTTCAAAGCATAAAGTTAAATATTTATTTGTTATTTTTTAGTAATTTAGGATTATGACTAGGATAAATCGTTGGCCTTTTAACCAGACTTCTATTCATTTACTGAATAAAATCAAAGTGTTTTCTTTTGAAGTTTTTTTTTTAAACTGTCTTGACATCAGTTTT